TCTATTTTTTGCAGTTTTGTGCCATTGATTAAAATGACTAAATAATTAGACATTCTCCATCTCCCTCTTAATATATGCAAAGCACACCTTTTCTTTAAAGCTATGATTAGCAAAATTGAATTGACCAAAAAAATCAAAAACAATTCGGATTTGTATTGATTTTATTTTTCCACTAGATGTCGGAAGTGGAGATTTTAAAGCTCTTTGAGACGCATTTGGAAAAAAAGCTGATTTGTACATGATTTCATTCATATTGTCGGGTTACAATTCTTTCAAACATTACATTTAATTACAACATATTAGATGGTTAGATTTTCAAATACATATTTAATGTGATTTCAACATGTGGCATCAAATTAATTTAACTATGGTCGGGTTAAGGCAACCCACACTACCTAGATACCTACAATTTCACTGTTATGAGACAGGAAATGCATCCAAATATTTTTATTCTGGCACTTGCCATTGGTATCGTCCAGTAGGATTGTACTAGATAGCTGTAAATCAGGTATTAGCAAAACAGTATACAAAAAATGTACGAACATATCAGACAAGAGGTTAAAGAAGTAGCTGATGACTTGGTTTGGGATTCAGAAATGTCAGGAATGAAGGCCGTTGAGGTCTGGTTGGTTGTGTTGGTTTGGGGTTCAGAAGTTGCAGGAATAGTTGGGGTTGATGTTGTAGTGGTTGAGTTAGTTTGGGGTTTGGAAGTAGCAGGAATAGTTGGCCTATGGTTGGTTGTATTGGTTTGGGGTTCAGTAGTTTCAGGAATGAAGGCCGTTGAGGTCTGATTGGTTGAGTTGGTTTGGGGTCCGGAAGTTGTAAGAATAGTTGGGGTTGATGTCGGATTGGTGGAGTTATTTTGGGGTGTGGAAGTAGCAGGAATAGTTGCCGTTGGGTTGGTTGTATTGGTTTGGGGTTCAATAATTTCAGGAATAAAGGGTGTTGGTGTCTGGTTGGTTGAGTTGGTTTGGGGTTCAGAAGTTGCAGGAATAGTTGGCGTAGGGTTGGTTGTGTTGGTTTGGGGTCCGGGAGTTGGAGAAGTTAAGGCCGTTGGTGTCCGGTTGGTTGTGTTAATTTGGGGTTCGGAACTTGAAGGAATAGTTGTGGTTGGGTTGGTTGGGTTGGTTGTGTTGGTTTGAGGTTCAGTGGTTGCAGGAATAGTTTGGGTAGATGTCGTAGTGGTGGAGTTAGTTCTGGTTTGGGAAGTTGTACCGGTAATTGGTGTTTCTGTAGTTGTAGGTTTAGTGGCAAAACTGGGGAAAGCAGCAGTTGAAGGAGTTCTTGTTGTGGTAGCTACAGGGCCACCTCCTCCTCCACCACCTCCTCCATCACCACCTCCTCCTCCACCTCCTCCTCCTCCATCACCACCTCCATCACCACCTCCTCCTCCACCACCTCCTCCTCCACCACCTCCTCCACCACCTCCTCCATCACCACCCTCCTCCTCCACCTCCTCCTCCTCCTCCTCCTCCTCCATCACCACCTCCATCACCACCTCCTCCATCACCACCTCCTCCTCCACCTCCACCTCCTCCACCTCCTCCACCACCACCTCCTCCTCCTCCACCTCCTCCTCCTCCTCCTCCTCCACCTCCTCCTCCATCACCCTTGTTATCATCAGGATTATCTTTCTTTTTCTTTGTAGTTGTTGTTGTTTTCGTTGTTGTGGTGGTGGTGGTGGTGGTTGTTGTTGTGGTTTTAGGGACTGTTGTTGTTTTGTCTGTAGTTGTAGATAAAGTGGTGCTCAAGGTGGTAGAGACGGTGGAAGAGGGAAAGCTAGTTGTGGTAGTGGGAGGGGCAGATGTGGTTGAAGTTTGAGGAAGACATTGGCAAAAAGAAGAAGTAGAAGAATCAGAAATACTTCTTCTACTTCTTCTTTGACTTGTTCCCTCTTCTAGGCCAGTTTCATGAAGAGGACACTTTGTTCCAGGAAACACCTCAAATCCCAGTTGTTTACGAAGTTCATCCAAAGTCTTTGGCTCAAGTGTTTTGGAATGAAGGTCTTCATAAACATTGTCGCCCCAGTATGCAGCTGCCAGCCACTTGTCCTTTGTGTGATTGTAACAGCAGAATGCTGACCAGAGAAGGGATGGTATATTCACCCTTTCTTTGAGTTGGGTGTTGCCGGGCACTGCCCCGGTCACTACAAAGCCATTGATGCGTTTATTATTGTTGATGCAGTGTTTGTTCAGGATGCATTTGACACATTTTTCCATGTTTGCCCAGCTGCCACCATTGAAAGTCTCCACTTGTGGAACAATGTTTGTCAAGGTGAATGTGGAGTCTCGGTCATTTTTATCAAATCCATAACTCCTTGGAAATAAATGGCCCCTACTATACGTGTTATCACTGGAGCAATAATCAAAGTTACTGGCCTGGTTTTGGTTTGCATCGTTCCTCATGTTGATGGGGTTTGCCGTCGGCTCGAGCTGCAAAAGTTAGAAGGCTCAGTCAGTGGTATTTATTTTGTGTTGTTAAAATAAACTTCCAGGAAGTTATTTGATAACTCAAACTGAAGTGATTACATCAGACATTTTGTCATTGGAATTCCAGTCATAGGGAATGGTAGCTGCTGTGCATTCTGGGGCGTCACAGCCATCTTTGGAGGATAGCATCCAACAACCACAGAAGCCCTTATCTACGAGCTTTCACTGATCATCTTTTGGATGTTGTTCACCTAATATAAACAAAGCAATAGCGAAATATAATTGCCCTTACCGACAGAAGCTCTCTTCAGAAGCAGAGGAGCATTGTTGTACTGAATTAAAGTTAATAAATAACATTGGTCCGACCCATACGGCATCTCTGCTGATGTTGGCTACCTCTCCATCGTTTCCATTTTGCTATAAAACTATAAAATGTAAACCCAAGGTTCTTTGTTTTGTTTTGTTAATTGGTCATAGGAGTGGCAGTTACAGCCAAGGACACAAACAGTGCCCACATAAAAAAAGTTAAATTGAAAAAGTGACGCTACTTTGCTCGCCATAATGGAGAGTCAATGGGTTGTGGTCGCTTGGGTTGATGACGTCATATTCCCATTATCTATTGCTCTCATGCTATAAACACTTTTCTTAATCAACCTGTCAGTTGCTGATGAGGTTGCTGTCTCTCTCTTAAAGTGTAAAAACTGGTGGACGGAGTTTAACGCCATTGAATAGTCGAAAGTTGAATAATGTTTGAGTCGGAGAAAGAAAAACAAACCTCTGGCTCTATCTTCCAAGGTGGTTTCTTACATTTCCCTCCCCTCTTCTCTTTCCCTCTGTACTTGTAAGCAGAAAACACTGGTATCCTGTTGCTGGTGTCGTAGAGCGTCACAAACCGAGGCTTGTTCTTGAAGGTCTGGCAAATGACTTTATATCGGTTCTGCTCCAGGATCCTCCCGTCCTGCAAGACGTCGGGGACATTTGGTGTTTTTTCATCAAGAACAAACCCAGGACATTTAGCCATTGAATTCACGACTTTAGTTAGTGTGGGATGGATGGACAGGAGGATGGTGGCAAAGGGCAGGAGACTCCATCTTTTTAGGGTCACATACTGTGTATTTTTTGGGAGGGGAAAGAACAATGCATTATCAAACATTATAGTTTGAGATACCAGTTCAAACCAGACCTTTTTGTGGAGGAATCATAATGTTATCTTATAGAGTGGTGAAGGGATAACGTATTCACCAGTGGGGTATTTACTGATGTGATTTGACTGATAACAACCTCTTGAGCTTATTTCAGGAGTCATTAGCTGGGTTACAACTCATTACTTTACACACTGGTTAATGATTCCCTAGTTACACTTTTGTTGTTCGGCATTGTGTACACACAAAGATAATCAGGCTTTATTTCCTGGAGGAATACCAGGAATAAATCTGGGATAGATTTCCATTCGAAAAACTACTTGTAGATTTGCTGGTTAAAAAAATAAAATAAAGTGTTATTTTTTTCACATTTCACATCGTCATGAAGCAGTAATAAAATAAAATACTCCCTAAAAGTCCTGTTTTAGGAACTTTACTTAAGAAAAAGTACAGAAGCATTGTCAGCAAAAGTTACTTAATGTATTTTCAGAAAAAGTCTACAGAATCACCCGTTTTGCATCAACATGGGAGCAGCATCGTCTTGATAATTCAAGTTATTTCGCGAATTCAGATTTACAAGAAATTTAACAAAATTCACTTAAACTTGCCGTAACTTTCATATCATTTTTATTTGAGATCAAAATGACAGCGTTTATATTTTGCAGAACTATAATCCTTTAATTTAGTTATTCTTACGTTTGTAAAATCGCATAAATCACGGAAAACTTTCGATTGTGTCTGGAGTTTAGTTTTTCTTTGATAAATGTACTTATATGAGATATTACGATTATTTTCATAAAACCTTTTAAATAAAACGTTTAATAAAATTCATTTAACTTACACTTTATTTTACTTACAATTACAGTGTTTAGATTTAGCTGAACTATCATTATTTTTTTTTTTTAATATTTTATTAGAAAACCTATTCAAACCTAAATTAAGGATTAAGGATTTCATATTTTAAATTATATTTATTTATCTTTAGTTCAGAGGAAATGTGTTATGTGAGTACAAACTGAAAATGATATTTAAAAAAAATGTTTAAGACTTTGGGTAAACTATGATTCCCATTTTCTCATCTGCAATTTTCCACATTTTAAAAGTAATCCATTAAATGAGAAAATAATCCAGAGATTAACAAATTCAGGAATAATCCTTATAAAGTTTTTTAAAAAAAACACTTACCATCTTGGATCAGAGCTTCATGAAATCTGATGAAACTGAATTAACTCAGAGAGTCTGAAGGAAGGTACATGTCCCTGGAGGTGTGGCTACAGAAATATTATAATAATCTCCATCATCGGGGACTTTCCATGGATGTGTTTTTGTTCAATATGACTCCAATATTTATTCAGAAAGGTGCGTTGAATGGTCCTTTACTTCCTTTACAGAATATTTGTACATTGCCTAACAGAAAAATAAACTACAATTCAACATGAGCAGTGTTTTATTTCATGGACACAGCTTCAGTTTAAAGACCTTTATAGACAGGATGACGCAATAATGCAAAATACTCGCCTGCAAATATTTTGCATCAAATCTATTCGTGCCGGCAGCGAAGCAAATTTAAAAAGAATATAAGTATTGATTTGTGAGTTTATTATACATGAATAGATAAACAAACGTGATTGGTGGATGATTATGAGTGAGTGGTCGATCCGCTTCATCTGATTTGTCAGTTCTAGACGATGTAAGCTCCGTAGAGTGGTGCAAGGATGTCGTTTTCTGTAGTCCGACCCTGAAGGCAGCATCTCATGGTTCAATGGGATTTTCCATTGGATTTTCGAATTATGGTAGAAAATAATCTCTGTGTCAAACAAACGTTTATGATACTTACACGTTTAGTTCAGAAGGATATTCTCCACATGTCAACACCACTTTATGATTTCTGAAGTAAAAATCTAACGCTATAAAGGAACTACAGCACGGTCATTGCATGACTTCACGTCACCACCGCTAAGCTATAGGCGGCTAATGTTGGGCTTGATGATGTTTAATCGTCTCATTTAGACACTTGTTAGCAACCGCTGTCGTTAAATTCACCAGTGGGGTATTTACTTTTGTAGTTAATGTCGTACAATACTAATCTCTTCAGCTTCTGTTAACCACAGACCTTATTTCAGAATAAAAACACTTTCAGAAAACCGTTGACAAGGAAACAGGAAATAGGGTTTTAGGACTCATTCCTGCACCAATCTATTACAACGTCTTCTCTGTGTTATTGTCAGTAAATTAAACAATAACAGTGAGGTGAATGGTGGGAGTTTGGGACCAGGGATGGTGGGAGCAGCTGATTGGTCGGTTGATCAGTTTAGGGGCGGGGCATCAGCCTCCAGAGCGTCAGAGATCATCAGGCAGAGCTGAGCGAAAGATGGACGCTCCTCCGGTCTCTGAGACAAAGATATTCAGATATATAAAAGTGTTTTATCATAACACAGTCTTAATACGCTTTATTATTGTTGGTGCATTTGTCAACAATGAACTGGATCCATTTCTGTTTTCATCAAAGCCTTCTACTAGAAACTAATTTAGCTTCTATTCAGACCGTCACAAGTAAAAAACAAGAAATAGAATCAAATAAATGTACGCAAAAATAGTATAATAAACTTATTTTTTCCTTAAATCAGAAATGTTAAATGTAAATGTACTCCAGGTGTAACTCAAGTCTTATTCTAGTGTTGCTTATATTCCACATCATTCATCCAAATCTGTAAAGTAACTAAAGGTATTAAATAAATGTAGTGGAGTAAAAGTACATAATGTACCTCTGATCTGTAGTGGAGTAGAAGTACACAGTAGCATACAATGGAAATACTAGTAAGTAAGTAAGTAAAACTTTATTTATATAGCACCCTTCTCAACACGAATGTACAAAGTGCTTTACAGTACAGTACACAAAACTATTATACTCAAAAATACTCAAGTTAAGTACAAGTACCTCAAATGTGTACTTAAGAACAGTACTTGAGTAAATGTACTTAGTTACTTTACACCACTGGCAGTCTACACTTCACTACACAAGTTGAATTTAAAAGTATCTTAAAAACCTTAAAACTCCCAGTATATTAGGATAAAGGTTGAGTCTCTGGGCTCTCACCTCGTGCCAGCAGAGCTGCATGATGTCATAGATTGTGGGCGTCGCCATTTTCGGCCTGTAGAGGCGGTGACCTTTGGTTACCAAGGTAACGACCTCGTGGTTCTGACTCTGTTCGAATGGCATGCGACCCTCGGTGAAAACCTCCCACATCAAAACGGCTGGAAACAAAACAAACAAACAAACAAACAAACAAACAATGAGTCCGAAGCTTTATTTGTTGAAACTTTGCTGAAGCTTGAATGAATAAATGGTAAAATATGAAAACAAGGTGGTATTTTTCCGCCTGGACTCTATTTTCATGCTTAACCACATTTAATCATCTAATGACACATTTCTCCAATTAAAACATCTTGACCCTACTTGGTTCTTCTTCAAATCAGTATTATATAGAATAATTCACTATAGGGACTTCATTTGGTTCGGTTTTTAGCGAGAATGCAATGTAATGCTATCGGTCAGTTCCTGCACGTCTATTAATGCTTTATTTTACTCTTATCTATATTATATATTTTATATTCATTCAGTGTCGTATTTCTACCATACAATATACCTTAGCCCATACTGTACCATGTAGCATATAATGTTCGTATGTCACTACATATTCCTAAATACATAGTAATTGGTGCACCACATTTTGCACTTTGTCTCGGTAGTTGTTCACTAAAGTTCAATTTAATCCGAAATATCCACCTAGTTGAATTCAGCTAAAAATTCAGCCCTCGTATAAAAAATCTTTAGCTAACGCTGAGATACGCTACCTGTAGGTCGTGTCTCGATGCTAGCTCTTGATTTTGTGAATCTTTGCAATGTTGATGTGAAAAGTGAACGTACCGAAGGACCAGATGTCGGACTTGCTGCTGTATTTGCAGAAGTTAAAGACTTCGGGAGGCGACCACTTCACCGGGAACTTGGTGCCCGATGAGCTGGTGTACTGGTCGTCTAACACGTATCTACAAAACAAACATCGCCATTTTAATGTGACACGGAAACAATTAGTTCTTAAGAATATTTAAAGGAAACATTAAAATATAGTTACAAATAAAATAGATTATAACCACAAAACCAAACAATAAGTAAAGTGAAAAACAATAAGCCCATAACGTGAAATTATTGACATCAGGTCCATTGATTTCGTGCGATAAGTCACAGCGTTAAATTCTATTCATATAGTCTAGATTCATATATTTCGTACATAAGCCAATAACGTGAAATTACTCATGTGAAGTCCATATGTTGTACGATAACGTAAGAATTATTGATATCATGTTTATATATTGTACAATAACTTCATTACGTTAAATATATTTCGTACGATAAGTCAACATTGGAAAGCTATTGACGTCAGGTCCATATGTTTCGTACGATAAGTCGATATTGTAAAGCTATTGACGTCAGGTCCATTGATTTTGTACGATGAGTCGATATTGTAAAGCTATTGACGTCAAGTCCATATATTTCGTACAATAAGTCGATATTGTAAAACTATTGACGTCAAGTCCATATGTTTCATACGATAAGTCAACTTGGTAAACGTATTGACGTCAGGTCCATTGATTTCGTACGATAAGTCGAAATTGTAAAGCTATTGACGTCAGGTCCATATGTTTCGTACGATGAGTTGATATTGACGTCAGGTCCATATATTTCGTACGATTAGTCGATGTAATGTTGATAGGGTTACATTCGTACCTGGTCATGCCGAAGTCAGACACCTTCACCACCAGAGAGTCGTTCACCAAACAGTTCCTGGAAGCCTGAGTTTGAGAAGGAAAAATAAATAAATATTCCTACTCGTATATTTAACAATGCTAGCCTTGATCAATTGATATACTAATCATCAAAGTCAAAGTCAGCTTCATTGTCAAAAATGTTACATGTGTTATACATCCAGAAGTATCGTTTCCCGCAGACCCACAGTGTGACATGTATACATTAAACAAAACAAAGAGCCTAGATAACCGGGGTATACAGTTTAAAATGTCAATAATATATTTAAAGTGTTCAAAGTACAGTTTCAGTGCAGTAGCAGCGGAGATAAGGATTATGTTTTTGTTTCTGAAGTAATCCTTTAAAAAGAGTTAAAACACTATCTCCATCATTCACAAAATGTAACATTGAGTTCAACAGGAATCAGTTAGCTTTGGAAACCAGCCATTTTTGTATTTAATTTTCTCCCACTTAGAGTTAGTTTTTGAATAGGATCCAGTTACCAGGTCTCTGTGGATGAATCCGTTGGCCTCCAGGTGCTCCATCCCCTCGCAGACGTCCAGGCTGATACTGAGTAAAGACTCCAGACTGAAGCTGCCCCGCCGCTGCCTGAGGAAATTCAGTAGGCAGCCGAACTCCATGAACTCTGTGACGATGTAGATGGGCTTGAGCTGGCTGCAAACGCCGTACAGCTGCACCAGTTTAGGGTGAGAGAGCCTCCTGGAGAAGGAAAAAGCTAATGTTAGGCTAAAAAGGAACTATCACATGACCTCACCTCAGCACCGCTAAGCTAAAGGCGGCTAATGATGGGCTATAAAGGAACTGCAGCACGGTCACATGACTTCACGTCACCACCGTTAAGCTAAAGGTGGCTAATGTTGGCCGTGATGACGTTTAGTAACATTTTATTTTTGTATTTTCGCCTCCTTACATCATGACCTTGGCCTCCTCGATGAAGTCCTCCTCCAACATGGCTCCCTCTCTGATGGCCTTGATGGCCACTCGGTGTTGATGCCTCCACTTCCCCAGCCTCACCAGCCCAAACTGCCCAGAGCCCACCTCCTTCATGAAGGTCAGCTCGCTGGGGTCAATCTCCCACTTCTCTATAGGGGGGAGAGGGGGGAGAAACATGGAATAAGATCTGAGGTCAATCTCCCACTTCTCTATAGGGGGGAGAGGGGGGAGAAACATGGAGTAAAGTCTGAGGTCAACAAAAGCTGGAGAGATACCCTACCTACTTACACTTCATTCCTTCAATATACTTACTTCCTGACTTACAGGACTTACTTACACTTCGTTCCCTTCCTTCCTTCCTTCCTTACTCATGTCCTTCCTTCCTTACTTCCTTACACCTACTTACGTCATTCTTTCCTTCCTAACATACTAACTTAAAGTGGACCTATCATGCTATATTTAAATTATATATTGTAGGGCCATAGCTATATAAGGTATATTTATACGTTTCTGTTTTCAAAATACCAAACAGATCATGCATTTTAGCCATGCCTCATTTCGCTCTATGTGCTGTTTGCTGTCTCCGGTCTGATTCTGCTGACCACGCCCCCCTGCAGGAGAGGGGAGACGTGCTCTGATCAGCTGCTGGGCTGTCAGAAGAGGGGGAGAAAAAGAGAACTCCGTGTTTTATTATATAGAGTCGTTATTCATTTGTTTTAAAGCTCAATAAATAACAAAGAAGACCTTTGACCGGCACTTTTCTAATTTTGTCCGGAAGATTTAAACTTTAACGGACATCTTGACCGGCGAAAGAAACTGAAACTGAAACTCTGCCGCACGGTCCCCTCGTTCCTTGGAAGAGGCGGAGAGGTGGGTGTTTGTCATCTGCTGGTGGACTAACCGGAGAGAATTACAGTGCTTGCCTCGACGGGGAGGGATTGCATTGAATTAAAGCACCGGGAGCAAACGCTTGCCTCGGGGAGGGAGAAAAAAGCCACAGCGGAGAATAAACAGAAGGGTAACCATGGTAACTATGGGCGGGAAGTCTTCTTCGCTGCTTTTGTGGCAGACTACAGCGCCACTTACAGGCCTGGCATATGTACTACAGCGTCTCCAGTGCTTTCGAGCGGCAATGGCCGGCCGTGGCCCAACCCCACATTCCCCTGATAGGTGGAGAGTTGGCCCAATAGCCGTAGCGCCACCGTCCTGACGTCAGGACAGTGTTCAAATCTGGATCAGTCTCTATCAGATCTGTTGCAGCCCCTTTTTTAGAGATTTGGGTATGGAGGAAAATAGAGAGGGTTGTGTTTTCTGACACTTGGTGAGTTCCCTGGAACACCGGGTACACATATTCATGTATAAAAGACGTACAAAAGTGCATTTTGCATGATAGGTCCCCTGTAAGTGCTTGGTTGCTTACTTACTGACTCACTTCCTTCCTTCCTTACTGACTTACTAACTTACTGACTTGCAATTCCTTCCTTCCTTTCTTCGTTCCTTGCTTGGTTGCTTACTTACTGACTAACTTCCTCCCTCCAGTTCCTACCCACTTACTAACTAACTAACTAACTAACTAACTTACTAACTTACTAACTAACTAACTAACTTACTAACTTACATTCTTCCTCCATTACTTCCTTTCATATGTTCTTTCTTCCTTCCTTACTATCTTACTTACTTACTCACTTCCTTACCTACCTATCTACCTACTTGTTCACTTACTTGCGTCCTTCCTCACTGACTTATACTTCACACAGAAAGAGGGGAGGAAGGTAAAGGAAGGACTAGAGGGGTTTTAAACATTTAAAACTGTCTCACCGTAGCTGAATCCTGCGGTGGACGGAGCCGCTTTATCCTGTTTCCCCACTGGATACCTCAACCTGGCAACAAGACCTGAAATAAAGACACATTTAAATAAGGAAATGTATGTACAGTCATCTTATATATTAGCCAACACAGTCTCACGGCATTTCGTGTTATAGTCACGAAATTAATCTATTGATTCGTGTTCACCAACACGATTTCGCCATCTTTTTCGTGTCACACAGAACGATTTTAAAAGCAATGTAAATAATAACAAATTAGAAGGAAAAAGACATTTAAAAAAATACAGATTTCAGTATTCTGACACAGAACGATTTTAGAAGCAATGTATTTATATTGGTAGTATGTTTCGTGCCTGCACCAAATAATAACAAATTAGAAGGAAAAAAAGATGATACAGATGTCAGTATTCTGAGGCTCTGAGCCATTTCTTTTCCTCACTGACGGCACAAAAACTCAGACATTATACAATTTAAAATAAAAGGGATAGGGTTAGGCTTAGGGTAAGATATTGAGTAAGAACATGTTTTTATGAACCACACAGCTTCTGGTCTTCCAAGACCCGACCGGACAAAAAAACGTGTTGCAGGCACGAAACATACTACCAATAGAAATACATTGCTTTTAAAATCGTTCTGTGTGACACGAAAAAAATGCGAAAATCGTGTTGGTGAACACGAATCAATAGATTAAATTAATTTCGTGACTATAACACGAAATGCCGTGAGACTGGGTTGATATTAGCCTACTAACACAGACCTAGCAGTGTCATTGTTAGGAAGTGAGCATGCTAACACAGACCTAACATTGTCATTGTTAGGAAGTAAGCATGCTAACACAGACATAGCATTGTCATTGTTAGGAAGTGAGCATGCTAACACAGACCTAGCATTGTCATTGTGAGCATGTTAGCCTGCTAGCTTGGCTGTTAATGAGCTAGTACCTGCTGCGTTGTGTTTGTGATACTCGATGAGGTCGGGGATGGAGCAGAATAAATGTTTCTCAGCCAGATAAAACTGCAGAGGCGATCCCTGTGTCTCCTTGATGTGGTAATGCTTTATAACTGCTCCTCCGTCCCTGAAACACACACAACAACAACAACCATGCTATTAACAACAACCTAGCACAGAATGGCAGTGACGATAATGAGGAACATATTTGATTTTACATTCAATTTAAAGTGGACCTATCATGCTATATTTGAATAACATAGTGTAGGACCATACCTATATAAGGCATATTTATACTTTTTTTTTTTTCAAAATACCAAACAGATCATGCATTTTAGCCATGCCTCATTTTGCTCAATTTGACCATTTCTAGCTCTGTTTTTGCAAGGGCTGATTCTGTGAGAACAGCACCATCTACTGGCCTGGCATATGTACTACAGCGCTTTCGAACGGCAATGGCCGTGGCTGTCTCCTCCTGATTGGTGGAGTTGGCCCAATAGCCGTAGCGCCACCGTCCTGACGTCAGGACAGTGTTCAAATCTGGATCAGTTTTTATCAGATCCGTTGCAGCCCCTTTTTTAGAGATTTGGGTATGGAGGAAAATAGAGAGGGTTGTGTTTTCTGACACTTGGTGAGTTCCCTGGAACACCGGGGACACATATTCATGTATACAAGACGTACAAAAGTGCATTTTGCATGATAGGTCCCCTTTAAGTGAACTTTATCCTGTTCTGATAGCAAAACATTTGTACGTGTTTTCATGTCCATTTTTGATCCAGGCATCACTTGTTAGACGCTTTTATCCAAAGCGACTTACATACTCAATACTGTGGGCAATCCCCATAAGAGCAATTTGGGGTGAAGTGTCTCAGGGACACAACGACATGCTGACTGCAGTGGGGTTTGAACCTGTGACCCTGATCCCAACACCAACGCACTAGTCCTCTGCGCCACACACCTCCATTAATTTGCAGCAATAGTTTTGTGCAGACTTTCTACATCATTCTGCACACACAGCTGCATTAACGCTCAATAATGTATTGATTAAGACCAGATGTTTATTATATATATATGTAGTAAGTCTCAACAATCTAATAAAACATGCAAGGTAATATAAGTTTTTTTTAAAAGGTCAATATGGCGGAAAAAATATAACAAAAGGTGGCAATTATTGATCTTGTATCGGGCTTTACTTTAGTGGATCACAACATGTTATGTAAATAATTAATCTACAGATGTCCCAGCTCATAATGAGATCAACATCTTTTATAAATGTCTTGTTTTTGAGGCACAAAATGAAGCCTACAACAGACCAGGTCAGGGTAATTTGAAGCCTGTTGCTACAGAAACTAATGTATGAGAATGATCTATACCAGGGCTCTCCAACACGTCGATCGCGAGCTACCGGTAGCTCGCGGGCAGCTTTTCAGTAGCTCGCCGCTCGATTATCGATTATAGCGTATGGTTGCTTATTGATTTTTTTGGCCGCGGCTGGACAATAACGTTTTTTTATTTTAGAATTTTTTCTGTCACACGAATATCAAATGGTCGGTGACGCAGAGATCAAGGAACAGACGTGACAGCAGCACAGCGACAACACACACGGAGCAGTCTGCTTTCTCCACCAGCACCAGTCCAGAACCAACAGCAGAATGACCCGCTCTGAATCAGGCCCTGTCGCTGCGGCTCAGAGACACAAAGGGAGGGATTTGTGTTTTTTGAAAAACACTCGTTATCGTCATGTCAGGTTTTTGGTGGATTTAATCAAGTCTTGGATTGCAGAGTATGAATGTCCTCTTGCTATTTTCAGTTGATAAATACTTGTGTAAAGTTTGTGAAGGCAGGAGGAAAAAAGCTTCCGCGATCACCGTCTCCTCTCCGTTCCTCCAAACCCCGCCCCCTCCCTGAAAATAATGAGTGACAGGCTGATAGTGACCCGATAGAAACTTTATTATTCACTTAATCACTGATTGAGATATAATGAAGCTAACTTCATCTCATACATTCATGGGATTTATGTAACAGTAAGACAGAGAATGTAAGTGTGCACCCACATGCACTATTTTTGTTTTTATAATGCTGTTGTAAATACTCCTGCTGTTTTCAGACTCAAGTCATGTGTGTGATGCCACATTCAAGACATTCAGTGTCTTTTTTTAACAGAAGACCGTAGCTAGAAGCTGCAGCTAGACTGCAGAAGTATTAGTTTTTTGTTTTTGAGGATGGAACCATTTTCACACACAGATATAGGGAGGCTCGACCTATACAATTGATTTATTATGGTTTATAATTTAATGTCAAGACGAAGAAGAAGAAGAAAAAGATGGCTGAACAACTGTTCAGTGTCAATCCTGTGGAGATCTCCAAAATAATGTTCAGCTTAAGTCTCAGCAAAACTCACAACATTTCTGGAGCCTTGTAGACCCAGAAAACTATAGAACATTCACCAAGCAGCACTGAAAATGTCTGCTTTATTTGGTTCTGTTCTACATACCTTTGTGAAGTAGCTTTTTCTGACATGAATGTCATGAAATCTAAATACAGAACAAGACCAACTGATGAACATTTAAATGACTCTATTAGAGTGAACCTACAGTAAGTGGGTCCAGCATACACCTGTATGGTGGACTCCATGCAGTGCCATTCATCTCACTAACAAAAGAGTGAAATGCTTGAAAGGTGGTGATTAAGGACATTTATGTGAATTTTCAGTGATGTACTTACTATGTGGGCCATAATAATATGTGAGAAATCTTCGTTTTCTTGGACCTTGATGTGAAGTTAAGATTTTTGATAAGCTTTAGGTATTGCAATTTCACACGTGTACAAAAGTATAGCTTAATTCAACTGATGAGGGCTATGTGAATAAATGTAAGCGATGTGATGCAAGTAGCTCTTGGCCACTTTCATTTTTTGAAAGTAGCTCTCAGATGAAGAAAGGTTGGAGACCCCTGATCTATACAGTAGTGAGGTAGATTAGCTCCCCAAAGACTGGTGGAAATATAAAATAAATCACAGGTATGTAACTAAGTTAGTGTAAGTGTTTACCCTGCAGCTGTTTTGGCGTACAGAGAGACGGTGTAAGCTCCCGAAGTGCTGGAGTCTCTGACGATGAAAGCGCCTTCTTTATCCTGCAGGGGGCGACATAATGCATGTTGTGACTTAGTGATCCCAACATCCTTTTGAACAAATAATATGTAAAGATCTCCTCCACCAACACTCAAAAGAATATACCTATTTTTAAATGTAATGAAGATAATGGTGTGTCAAAGAGGAACTCAAATGAGGCAGAAAATGGGAAGGAACGGTAAAAATA